GCTGTCTAATATCCCATAAGTAAACGGAAACATTCATTTTGAATGAAATCATTCCCCCCGAGTGATTTGGCAATTTTCACTCCCAAAAAGATAGCCGAAGTTGCGTAAAAATTTAATCGATTTTATTTAATCAAAAATATTCCAATATCATCAGAAATATTCATGTTTATTGTGAGAAAGAGTAAATCAAATTAACTTATTCGCTATACCACAGGGAATCCCATCATTCGAATGAAACCAAAGGAGCAACAAAAAGGAGCATACTCCTGTCTCTTAATATTATTACCAAAAAAGGCTGATTTGATAGCCTGAAGAGTTTTCAATTTTGAAATATTATTCGAGTCGAATGATTTTAGAGGACATCCGACTGCTTTAAATACAGTTTGGTAGTTTAAAAAAATATGGGTATAACTCAGAGCAGAGATTGAGGAATCTTACAACCCAGATATATAAATATGTATGTACATGCCAGATATGCAATACAGATTTAATTCTAGTGATTCGAATTTTATTCGACATTTGTGACAATTAAAACGAACGTTTTTCTGGGCAAATTATATTAACCCATATAATTGAAAGCAGAACACACAATTTTGATCTGTTGACAACAAGATGCTTCGATGCTTTCTGTCAGTGTAAACATTTTAGGTACAGTTGTTAGTACTCAATATGGCCATGGAAATAATTCAATAAAGAGAGCAGGAGAGCACTGGAGAGAGAGTCCCGCTTTGCGCTTCCTGATTCGATTCTGGAAATGGTAATTCCGTTATTTGAAAAGTCCTTGACAAATGCCAAGCGATGACCAAATGGCAGTCCATACCTAACCATTGCCGTGCCTCTTCTCTTTCTCGCACATTCTATCCCACTTATCAAACTGCAATGAACTTTTCCCCCCTTTCCCCCACCAAGCACTTTCTATCCCCCTTCTACAGCTCGCGCCCAAGCTGCTGTTTGTCTTCGACTCGAAATGACCTTAAACTGGGTTAAAGCTCGCAAAAGTTACCTCAGTCGGTGGAGGGGGGGCAGCATGGCGAGGGGGCGCTGCACATAAATTGAACTTTCTGTGCAACAGAGCATAACCGAAAGCGCAAAAAGAGAGGGAAAGAGAGCAAGAGCGAGAGATAAAGATACCGATAGAGAGGGGTGAAGGCGGAAGAGAGCGCAGCAGAAGCAGAAGCAGTTTGTTTGACTTTATGCAGCTCATGAATCATTCACATGAAACTATGAATATGCATTGCTGAACAGAACAGAACAGTTTTGAATGCACCACGATTAACGAGTTCATTCACTCTTCTCTTCGAATGGGATGCAAATGTCTGTCTACCTGTAAATACTTTACATTTGATGTTAGTTAACATGTTTACATACATATATGTATGTTGTATATGTACGAGCAGAAGTTTTCCTTTCTGCCAAACAGATGAAAGATGAAAATTCAGCGAGCTTTTTCTTAGGTTCACTGTACGACAAGGACAAATACACTTATCCCACAAAACAGTTGGTTCGTTCTTCTAATTGCCTTCTCTATAATTTCGTTTCTATTTGCCAGGAGAAAGTAAAACCAAAGGCAATAACTATTCATCACTCATTTGCGCGGTTTCTCTCTCCATCTCTCTCTCTCTTCTACACATCATGGATCAAAAAGTTTGACGGGCGTTTGCTACGTTTCCTATTGTGGTGGTGCTCGCCCGCCCACTTCTCTGTCGCTGTCGCTGTCCCTGGTATACCCTCCATTTTTGGTGTGGGCGTTAAGTCAGCTGCGCAGTCGGAAGAGACAGCGACTGAGAGAGAGAGAGAGAGAGTCAAACCGCTTAAGCTTAACTTACAGCAACAACAACAACCAAGCAGAGAACATTTGCTAAGCAAGAGAGCAGCGCGAGGGGAGAGAGAGAGAGAGATCATCGATCGGCCAAAAGGTGAATGACTTGAAGTGGCGCAGCCAGTACGCTCGCTCTTGCTCTAGCTCTAGCTCTTTCGGCCGCTGCTACTATTTCAATTTTGGGCGATATTGTAAATGCAGGGCACTGCTACCCATATACTCATACTCGTAATTGTAGTTGTCCGAACTTTCATAGCTAAGGCTGAACTCCCCGCCCACCCCGTGCAATGCCGAAACCACACAAAACACTCTCTACTGACAATCAACAACAGCGCAGCTTTCAGCTCTGCGAAAGCTTTTCGCTTAGCGTTCGTACATGCATGCATATGTACACATGTATGTATGTACGTCGCACAGTGGCTGGTTTTCTTAAAACTCTTTCCAAAAATCATAGCCTTTGGTAAAATATAAAAGTCGACAAAATAAAAACTATATTTTTTCAGTTTAAAGAAAACTAACTGCGTAACTTACAGTTGCAATGGATAAGAATTCCTATGATATGACCCTGAAGAACAGTTTCGAACTGCCGAACTGTTTTAAGAGGAGTAAACCCAAAAAAGTATTGACTTATCTTGTAATCAATACCGAATTGAAAAATATCCACATTTTTTGGGCAAGAATTTTAAAATTGATTTTTTGCAGCATGTTCTTGGAAAACGGGCCACTGTGCGGGGCTCGGGCGTCGCTTCGGCAACGGCAATGACAGTGTAGCAAGCGCCTCGTACTTTACATTCTGCCTTAGTAGGTCAACAAAATTCCGGACAATGGCCTTTCGCTTTCGTCTGCGCGCGTCTGTGATGCGTCGCACAGTGGGGCCTTTTGAGTTTTTACGTTGCGAAAATATGTACGTGCCATACTAAAGATGGTAACACTCATAAATGGTACCAAGTAGGGTGACCAAATTATAACCAGATTACAGAATTTCGTTAATTTCTTTTGCAGGCGGAAATATTTTTCAAATTCTTTTTTCCATCTGAAACATATTTAAAAAGTCTACATATGTATATATGTACATATGTGTGTATGTTTTATCTTATTCATGCAGGAGGATTTTTCGCCACGAGGCCCCACGGTTGTGTCCTCAGCGCCAGGCCTCGTCGCTGCATCTAGAAGTCAACGCCAGCTGCAACGCTGGCAGCAATGAGCTTTGAAATGTAAATAGAAGCAAAGCGCAAAGCCAATGCTGCCTGACTGACGGGGAACACATGTTTCCCTGCTGCCGCTGCGACTGTCTCCCGCCCCCATCCCCCCTTACCACCATATCGCTTTCATGCTTGTTTGCAGTGGCTTCCATGAAGATAATTCAGTCGACGCGTCGCTGCAGTTTCTGTTGCATTCAGCGATGTCGTAATGCGCCCAAAAGCATGGGCATGGTCGCATGGTCGCATGGAACGCGGCAAAATATTGATTGCGAATGTCTGGCCAAACGGTTATCTCTCACAAAAAACAGTACCAATCAATTAAAAGGTCAAAATCATCATGATATAAACGGGCCAAGAATGCATTTCAAAGGGCACATAACTATGTACACATTTATTTCACTTGTATGATCGTTTGGAGAGCAATAGAATAATTCACAGCCCACAAGTTCGTTAGCAGCACACTGTCATTTACGTTGGATCCCACGTTAACAAGTGACTGGCAGTTGACCGTTAGGTTCAAGAAAAACAGCATGATTTTCTATTTTCCTTTGAATATTTTATGTGTGTTTTTCAATAATATTGGGAGTAAATACCTGATACTTACTCGATGGCAAGAAAGAAATTTTTCGGAAATTCAACGTAAAAGATACTGAATATCTCTCGTGCCAAATGGTCTCTGGCATTCTCATTCGAAATCAATGCGTCCATTCACTTATGGAACATTTCTACACCGTACGCGTCTTTCAAGCCAGAAGGCGTCGTGAACGGATTGAAAACATTTATGAATAGGAAAAAGGATACCCTTATTTCTTCCAAAGATTCAATCTAATCTTTATACTACTCCAAAATCATTGAAATCCATTGTATGGATTATGGCAAATCAGTTTTCTATTCCGATTGGATGATGATGAATAACATTTAAATATTCTCAGGTAGTTGTATATGGATTATCATTGCATACAAAACACTTACCGAATATGATTAATCTATGATTAATCATGGGATTTGTAATGCCTAAGTTACCCACGATTTATGTTCCTATGTTTTAAAAACCATAATACTATATAATCCAGTGATAACTGTTGCAGCAAATGCTCCCACTCTTTTCTAGTCAAAGCCACGAATAATTGGCTGGAATCGTACGCTGATTAGGAAATCGGAAACTCTCCTCAATGATAGTATACCCCTGGTAGTACGTATACCCCTATGTACGGCAACAATAAATGGTAGCAAAATGCAGACCCAAAACAGATCGAAGCTGAAGCAAGGAGAGCCGAGCCGAGCCATCCGTCAGGTATGTAGGTTAAAGGTCAGTGTTCGTTGCACTCCCAGACTGAAGGACTCACGGGGGCTGGAGTGGGGGGTGGCCTTACATAAAAGGCCGTTCTGATACAATGCATCCATCCAACCATCCAACCATCCATCCCTACTAGGTGATGACGTCGTCGCCCACTAAAGTCACGTACATACATACATATTTATGCATGCATGTATGTACATATGTATGTGCATATGTATGTACCTTGGTGTGTGGTCCAATTTACGGCCCAAGTCAAAAGCAAACCCCAAGCGACGCCCAACCCTCATTCGAGTGTCGACTCCTGGCCACTCCATTTATTATGCTACGAGTATTTGGAGGTTATCACAGTTATTTCAACCTGTTCCGAGTCCATAAAGGCTTGTTCCACAGCCAAGTTAAGTCTCTCGGTTACATTTTACATATTATATGCCATTGGAATGATTTTTCATAAGCTAATTCTTGTTCTGTTGTGAGTGGGAGAACTTAAAATAAATAACGATCTTTTTATCTTCTGTTCAATGATCAGCAATCCAAATTCACTCTTGATTCACTCTTCCTGTAAACTTGTAGCCCAATGGCTACAGCTGCTCCCTCCAATTTCTGACAAAAATTTGCTCGAACAGAGATTCCTCAATTTTCGAATAGCTTTTTCGATAATAACCAATAAAGACTTACTTACCCCTCGTTTCCCCTCTTCAAACGGTCCTTGGTTCGAGCTTTCGTGCTCGAAGTTGAGGTGGAGGTTGAGCTGGTGGATGATCTGAGCCCGGCTGGCTCCGATCGGTTGTTGATTATATTGCTTAAAGCAAAGCTGATACGACAATGCACAATTTTTTGGTTGCTATAATGAAAGGAAGATGCAGAGTAACTTAAGTTTGGTTGTGACGTTAAAAAAATAAAATTAAATAATATGTTCAAAAAGTAACGCCCAAAGCTTGCTTTTGTCGCAATTTGCCAAACAATACGACGCTAGGTGGCGTTAATTATTCTTTTAGATTGATGGATATATTTATATATATTATATTTTGTATAAATTCATTGACTGCAAAAGAAATAAAGAAACTAATATATAAAATAAATACATTTCAGCTATTGTCGAATGGCAAATCGATGACGATATATAGTTACATGGCGGCGAGCTTTTGTCAGAGCAAACAGCTTCGCGTCGAATGCGAGTGGAGGCGCTGCTGTTAACTTGTAGTTCCGCACATTAAACATAGGCGGTGCTACAACAGGCGGCCAAAAGAGAGAGAGATAGAGAATGAGAGGGCCAATAAGTCGAGTCTTTCTCTTAAATCGACTCTCTTCGAGCAGTGCCTCTGTGTGCGTGCATGTCGCTCACTCAGTCGCCCGCTCTCTTTGAGTGGCTCTCTCTTGGTTGTGTTGGTGTTGGTGTTGGTGTGCTGGCTGTGCCTTGCAATTTGTGTGTCAATCGGTTTCATTAACCCCGACAAATGTGCAGCGACGTCGACAGCGGCAGTACAGATACAGAGACAAGAAAGGTCAACAAAGTACGAGAGCATGGCGTGGCATACCCTGGAGGCTACCACTAAATACCAAAGGTATATTTAATTCGTGCAAATACGAGCGGAAGTATTTGATTAGATATTTGATTATCAATCAGATCTTAGTGGAATCTTTTCTCGGACACCTTTTAAGCGCCAAGTAAATCATTAATCTTGAGTACATGAGAATATGAAAATGGAAATTACAAATGCAATTTTTTGGCTTACTTTCAAGAAACTTAAAAAAAGGTAGCCCTTAAGAGATGGGCGAAATAAATCCAAATATTTATGCTATCCGATCTAACCTTTATTAATATGGCTGTTGTTTTTGTTTTGTATGGGTTAGGGCATATCCCTCGGTATTGCCACATGCCCACATCCTAGTCGAACAGCACCTGCAACATGAAACCCCACCCGACTGCACTCCACTCTCTGGCAGAGTATTTTGCTTCCTCTCCTCTCTCTCTCTCTCTCGCTAAACGCACTCATTCTCCCTCTTTTAGAAATGCGGAAGAAAATGCAACGCAGAGCGCATTAGAATGAAACAGAGGGAGAGAGAGAGAGAGAGAGAGAGATAGAGAAGAGTAGAATAGAATAGCGAAACCAAAACCAAAACAAAAACAGCAATTTACAGGAAAAGCTGGAAAAGATGGGCAAAATTTCAAGGAAAGCGTCCAAGACTGAGACCTGACGGGGTGTCAGGTAGGGAAAGAAAACTTAATCGTTCGTTGGTGCCAGCCCAGCACAGCGGGAGTACCAGACTCCAGTCCATCATAATCCATCAAAATCATCTCAAGATCCGTGGTGCAAATACAAAAACCGAGCGAGCACTCGCGAAAAGTTAACGAAGCATCAAAGTCCGAGGCAGTCAGTCAGTCAGGAATGCTTTCCCATTTCCCAGTGCCCAGTCGCTGGAAAATGGATTTTGGCATAACAAATTAGAGTAAAGATTTCCACGTACTGGGGGGACTTTTGAGTATTCTTATGGATTGGGGGCAAAGGATTTTCACGCAAGTTTTTACTTCAGAAGCAGCAAAAAGTAGAAGTTCTTGGAATATTTAACAGATCCCAATTGAATGGGCGAATGAATTAGGCTTTAAAATCAATTTACACAGGATGTAAATTTGCTTTGTTGAAGTTTCCCATTTGCAATATTTTTGGTGTGCTCTGGCTCCAGCTGACTCCGAGTCAATTGGGAATGGAAAAGCAATATAATATTCTCAAACATCAATACGTATAACAATACAATAAGTAGCCCCAATCAAACGCTGCGACTGGGCCCCCTAGAGACAATCCTTTTCATTGTCTTTACGAATATCTTTGACTGTCAGTGTGTGCCTGGTAGTGTTGTATGCAGTGTAGTGTCCTCTCAAGGCCTTTAACCCCACGACCCTCTCGAGTGCTTAAGATCCAACAACAACAGTTGTCCGAGGGCAGGTTCACTTGTTGTTGGTGGTGGTGGTGCTGCTGTTCCTGTTCTGCATCCCGTTTCCTGCCGCACTGCCACTGGCAACAACTGCCACCTCATGCAATCTATTTCCTATTTACATACCGTGCACGGTGCACCCCCTGGCCCCACACACCCAACACACCCGCCCTTTGGCGCTCGCTGCAGCACGAGCACGAGACGACGACGACGTCGCCTGCCAGACGACAAGGGGGGCTAGGGGCGGTCAGGGTGGCAGCCCGGCGCACATGCAAATAAAAATAGATTTTTCTCGGTATATAGGATAACGACCAGGAACGACCCCAAAGTTGGCGCTCGACACCGGGACGCCCGACGCAGACGCTGTCGCTGACGCTGACGGCGACGCCAACGACATTTCGGGCAACGACCGACACAAACATATCCCCAGGCACCTACCTACTGCGGCTATCCCTACCGCCCTCCCTCTCTACTTATCATTCTCTTCATCGCTCCATCTCTGTCTGGTGTTCACCTTCCCTTCCGTGTGCTTGTTTTTGTTGAAGAGAGAGAGAGAGAGACAGAGAGAGAGCCACGGCATTCGAAGAGAGTAGAGAGAGCTCTCAATGCTTGCTCCCCCAGCTCCGTGCTTAGCTGTCCCCGTCCCCGTCCCTGTCCCTGTCCCTCTTTAGGTCCTAGAATTTCATCTGTGTGTGGAGTGTAGGGGTTGCTGACCTCTTCTCAGGGTCGCCAAAGGTTGTTGAACTGATTGTCGCTCTCGCTCTCTCTCGCTCTCTCTCCCTATCTCGCACTCGCCCGCAAAGGGAATCCAATGTATGCCGGCTTCGGTCTCACTCTCTCCTCGCTCCTCGCTCCTCGCCCCTCTCCACCACTCCACATCTCTTTTGTCTGTGTGGAGCTGCTGTGTGTGAGTGCGTGTTTGTGTTGGTGTGGATGAGTGTCTGCGGCAAAGAGGTCGCTGCCTGCCTGCCTGCCTGCCTGGCATGCCTGCTGCTACCCCCCTACCTTCCCCCCGGTCGACGCTGCTTCAAATGTGTGCTGGTCGTTGGCCTTTCAGCTAGCTCTTCCTCCCTACCTCCCTACCACCCTTCTGCCATTCCACAATCTTTGGCACTCTTGTGACGTAATGTGGCAACAGGGCATTCCCAGCAGTCTCGCATCCGCTCTCCCCCGCCCTCTCCACTCCTCTCTTGCTCCTGCTGCTGCTGCTGTTCCTGCTGCTGCTGCTGCTCCTGCTGTTTGCATTGTTGCTGCTGTTGCTGCTGTTGCTGCTGCTGCTGATTTTCTCTCCTTTTTGTTCGTGTTGCAAATGTAGGGCTGCTTCTGCTGCACTCTTTGTCCGTGCTTCTGTCTGTTTCTCTGTGTGTGTGTGTGTGTGTGAGCTTGTGCATAGTTCAACATTGTCTGAGGTTAGGGTTGAATGCTCGACCGACTGGCTCAGGCCATCCCATCCCATCCCCTAGCTGCAGGAACAACAATCCCATTCGAATGTGCATTCTTGCCCAGCCATCTTTAATCAGCCTCTGCTATTCCGCGCCACTGCTCCTTATCCATCCTTATCCTTATCCTTATACTATCCTATCCTGTCCATCCTTGCTTCCAATTCTTTTGGTATGTACCAACTTATAGCCTGGAATGCTTGCTTGGTGTCATCTCATCAACTGCAGTTACGCTGCCAAATTAGCCATTCACACAAAATTAAACAGTTTCCGCAGAGAGAGAAAAACATCCAAAAAAACCAAAAATTACATCGACTCATTGAGGGTTTTCCGAATTTTAATATAAGCATTCCAAACATCCATATTTTTGCATCATTTTGGGTTAATTAAAACGAGGTACCACAAACCACTATCCCTGCAAAGATACATATGTACATACATGCATGTACATACGTATGTATGTACGTCCAGATATAAAAGCACTGAAATTTTAACATAGATTTCAAAATATATACCACAATAAATTAGACTCGAGAGTGGCAATTCTAAAAAGAAAGGGGTTTTCACTTACATTTTAACGTTAACAGGAAGATATTTAATTGAAATACATTTTATATGTACATAACTATGTATTTAAATAAGATATTTACATATGTATGGCAATTTCTCTGACGCAACGAATGAATACTATATATAGTAAATATATTTAGTATGTAAAGCAAAACAAATTTCCATATAATTGATTGAACGACAACTAATTTACCCAATTTACATATTATTTATTAACTCTGATGTGAAAACCTTTGGTATTTTTATAGTCATGTTTTCTTTAGTTAAATTTAATTAAAAAAAAAAACTACGAATCATATTTGCGTGATATTATAAGCATTTTAAAGAGACACCCATCAATGCACAACATTTATCAGAAATGAGTCTCAATTGATTGCCGCGAAAACCAAGCCACGTCCCGTGCGAATGCCTTGGTTTAATATCAAAAACGAATAGTTGCCCAAAATAGAACTTAGCACCAGCTATAAGGCTAATCAAGAAGTGCGTTATAATGGAAAAATAGAATTTCGAATACCTTTTTACCACTTGCAATGCGTGCGAATGCGTCCCATTCGACATTCCCATTATCTATGTACATAACATATATAACATTATATACTATAAAAAGCTTTTTAGAAATGACCCAAAAAGTTATACTTAAAGAATAGGAGTGGGAACTACTTTTAGTTTTCAAATATTAGAATAACAAGCTCGTTTTCTATTATGATAAAGTTCACGTAGATGTGTGTACCTATTATTATGAACATGTGTGTATATATTTTCATTTTTTTTTTGTCATATATGTACATATGTATATATATATTTCATAATTATGTACATACATATGCATATTAAATTTATTTCATAAAATGTAATACATTTGATTGATTTTAAATTGTTTTCTATTTGGATCTATATGTAT